GTCTGAGAACAACTCGCAGTCAGCAACAAGTTCACCTGAGAAGTCTTTGTCTCTGCCACAGCTCGAATCACATGTTTAATTTTAGCCTATTATTCATAATATAACGTGGCGCTCCAGTGTGAACCAAGGCCGAGGTGTCGACCAAACGCTGAGAGGAAACTAAACACGAGTCAAATATAGACGCAGAGCTGAAGACAGCTCATACTGGCTCATTTTTAGCTGCTTTTAAAATTGGTTTAACTCATTTGAACCTTTAATCTGAGAAACTCGAGCCCTCTTCCTCTTCCAGCCCACGCTGTCCAGCGTCAGTCGAGTCGTCACTCACGACGTCCCCGTTGATGTCATCCCCCGGAGACTGTGGCACGAGTTCAAAGAGCCGAGCATGCCGGACTTTGATGTAAGTGAAGCTTCCGAGCACCAAATCATCCTTTTTATGAGAGCTTTGTTTTTCATCACGGTTGTGTCACTGCAGGTCAGCATCTACCTGCCTCCCCTGAAGACCATGAAGAACATCGTGGACAGGATGAAGAACCTCTCCAACTTCCTGGTAGGAGGTTAAACATGTTCAGACTCATGCAGAGAAGAGCTGCAGCTTCATTTCTCTGGATTTGGGTCATTTCAGTAACGTTTGTCGCTTTTTTTAACATAACAGTAAACTCCTTTATTTTGAAATGCGTGAAAAAGGCGTCTTCCTGTATTTCAGCGCTCCGCCCGGCTCGATGTAGGACAAATATTGAATAGAATGTGAACACGATGTTTATGTCATCTTTTCCTGAGGAGCCAAGATGTCAGATTCAGACATTTGTTTCAACAATGCAGATAAAATAATTACATATTTAAACTCGTGTTACCTGCCACAGGTGATCACACACAACCTGAAGCCTTGTGTCGCTAGATGTTTAGATGAAATATGCTGAAATATGTGGAGCGTTTTCATCTCTTGCAGTCGGACAGGAAGTGAAGTTAACACTTCACCAGGCGTTAGAGCTCTGTGGTAAATCCTCGCTGTGACCAATGTGAACTTTTCAAGAAGCCTCATTTCAGCTTTCATAAACACCTCCAGCAGTGACTCACTGAGAGTCAACTCCAAGAGCCAAACACTGCCACCTAGTGTTTGTGCACTGAAATGAG